ATGACAGAAAGTAGATTAGTGGTCATCTGGGTCTGGCAGGGACAGAAAATGCAGAGAGATTTAAAATAGGTACAAAGTATTTTCTTGGGGACAGTGATAAAAATGGTCTGGAATTAGACAGTGGTGTTGGTTGCGCATTTTAGTGAATATGCTTAAAATCACTGAATTGTGGGGGTGACTGGGTGACTCAGTGGGTTCAGTGTCCCACTCTTGATCTCAACTTGGTCCTGATCTCATGGCCATAAGTTCCACCCACGCTTAGCCCCAGCATTGGGCCCCCGTGCTGGACGTGAAGCCTACCTAAAACAACAATATTGAACTGGTACATTTTAACAGGGTGAATTTTATAGTTTGTGAATAATATCTTAATAATAAACAGTTTTCTAAAGACAGTGTGGAACAAACACAGTCAGTGCCTCTGTCTGTCAGCTGTGCAGAAACATGAGACCTATGATGAATTGTCTCCCATTGTTTTTATCCGAGTACATAGTATTTTTTAAAACAGAGTTTTCCTTATATATGTTTTGGACATATTTTTATCCATATATATTTCTTATATATGTTTATACATATGTTTCCTTATATATTTTAGGTGTATATGCCTAAATATATATATATGCTTAGGTATTTAAAAATTATTCTAGGTACTTATAATTTATATCTTTGAACTCTTTTTTGTTTGTATAAATGAGACTATATATTTTTAAAGACTTTATTATTTTTTATTATTATTTTTTAAGACTTTATTTTTTTCAGAACAATTTTATGTTCACAGCAAAATTGAGAAAATGGGGATTTCCCTTAGGCTTCCTGCCACTGCATACATAGCCTCCTTCATCAATATCCCCATCAGAATTGTACATTTGTTATAGTTGGTAAGTCCACACTGACACATCACAATCATCCAAACTTCAGTCTACCTTGGAGTTCACTCTTGACATACATCCTATTGGTTTGGACAAATGTATAATGACTTGTATCCATCATTATATGTTCCAGCTAGTCACCCCTGGTCCCAACCCCAACCCCTAGTAACCACAGCTCTTTTTACTGGCTCTAACATTTGCCTGTTCCAGAATGTTGTATAATTAGAATCATACAGTATGTAGTCTTTTCAGATTGGCTTCTTTTACTTAGTAATGGGCATAATATTTATTTTTGAGAGAGATAGAGTGTGAGTGGGAGAGAGGCAAAGAGAAAGGGAGACAGAATCTGAAGCAGGCTCCAGGCTCCAAGCTGGCAGCAAAGATCCCCATGAGGGGCTCGAACTCACTAGTGAGATCATGAACTGAGTTGAAGTCAGCCACTTAACCAACGGAGCCATCCAGGCATTTCAGTAGCTTGTTTATTTTTAGCACTGAATAATATTCCATTGTCTACATGTACCACAGTTTATCCATTCATATTGAAGGACATCTTGGTTACTCATTTGCCATCTGTATGCCTTCTTTGGTGAAGACTCTAGGTTTTTAATGTTAATTCCATATATTGCTATTTTGTTAAATTCTCTTACTGTTTTAAGTGGTTTTTCCACTTATTTCCATTCTTTTGTTTTTTCCATAAGTTGCTGGCTTTGGTGTATCTATTTAAACTTAAGAGTAGTACACTTTAGAAATCTATGTGCAGGAGAGGCAAGGAAGGGAGCCCTTTGGTTGCCTACTACACTGTAAGGTGATTTCACTGGGACCATTCTTTGGGGACCTCAGAATCAGTATCATTAGGTCTTTCAGGTGTCAAATTTCTAAGAAACGGATCTTTCAGTCTCTTGACTGGAGGATAGATTTGTCATAGCTGCCAACACTCTTTGAGCTAGGTTGGAGGACTCTGGAAGTGTGAACTTTCAGCATATAAACTTTCACTGTACATAAGCCTGTGCTAAGGGGGGCTTGGGTGGCTCAGTCCATTAAGCCTCTGACTTCGGCTCAGATCATGATCTCATGGTTCATGGGTTTGAGCCCTGCCTAAGCAGCCTGAGCTAACAGCCTGAGGCCTGCTTTGGATTCTTTCTCCCCCTCTCTCTCTGCCCCTCCCTTACTCACATTTTGTGTCCCTCTCTCTCTCAAAAATAAACATTAGGAAAAAAAAGATTTAAAAAAAACCCTATCCTAAATCCCTTTTCGAAATAGGACCCAAGGTCCTGCTTCCTCTGAATATTCTGCTTTACTGTCTCTGCTAACAATCCTATTGTCAGGAGCAGATTACACTTTCATGGGACCTGAAATATGCACTTTGAGAGAAAGAATAAAAATAATTCAGTTTTACAAATTAAAACCAACAATGATCATCTGAACACATTTCTTAGAAAGGGGCCTGTGCAAGTGCTAGGCACTAAAGCTTGAGATAACTTTTTGTTAAATCTAAAATAACCCCCAATCTTTCTTGAGGTAGAGGAGAGGAAGTTGCTTACTAGTGTAGTTAGGGAGGGATTTGGTGGTCTAAATTGCAAAGAGAATATAAATAAAAAAGAACTTGACCACAACTCTTAGAGGTACCTGGTGCTATCAATTTCTAAGCCTTTTAAGGGACGGTGGGGAGGCAGGTTGTGTTGTAATAAGATGGTTTTTTGGCTTTCCTCATTCCTGTTTTCAGCTTTCTTGGGTTTACCAAATTAGTTTTCGTTCATCTATCAGCTTTTCAGGAACAGAATCTTGATGCTGTTGTCTCCTTTGCCATTTTTGCTCTTCTTCTGAAATTACACCATTAAAAAAATGATTTTCCTGTTATTTTACTGAGTTTCAGAAAGGAGCAGAGGTAAAGCTGTATGCTTGGTCTACCATTCTTAACCCAGAATCAGAATGTGCCAAATCACCTTCCAGAATTGCACCCCCCACCCTGCAAATGGCCGGAAGCACTCTACACTTTTAGCAGCACAGCATGAAAATATCCACTGACCCCTACGCTTGCCAATATGTCATATTCCCAAAATTTCCCAGTCTGGTTAGAGTAAATGGTCTTATTATTTAAACTTGCATTTCCCTGATTCCTACTGAGGTTCAGCATAACTCTCTATGTTTATTGGCCTTTCTGTTTCATCTTCTGTGAATAACCTGCTCAGATAATTTACCCATTGTTTTAATAGGTAGTAAAGGAGGGAAGAACATGACATCCCAAACTATGCCACTTTGGCATACTGACTGACCAGAAGGCAAGTGAAAAAAAAGCAAACAAAGTAAAGGATTCCCTTTCTGCCTAGAACAGGGCATAAAATTTTCCATGAGAAAAGTTTCCTCCTTATATCAGGAAGAGGGGAACATTTTTATCACTGGAAACAGAGAGTTGACACCAAGATTAATCTATATAAACAAATCTTCTAGAATAACCCTGGTCTATTTCCTAGTCATTTTTCCAAGGTTACTAACCCAGTCCAAACCTTCTTTTCCAGCCTCATCAGTCTCCACAATTTATTGTTGTTTGTTAAAATAGTATGTAAACTCTCAAGCCTATACACTGCTTTGGGTTTCCATTTCTTATACATAAAAGCCTCCTCATACACATAAAAATACTAATGTCAAATAAAATTTATATGCTCCTGTTAATTTGTCTTTTGTAAATGTAATCCTTGGGCCTACCATAGACCTAAGAGGGTAGAAGAAACGTGTTCCCACCCTTACAGTAGTTTACCTTTCTCTTTTAATTTGTAGGCATTCTTTCTGGTTGTTTAAAAGCAATTTGCTGTCACACAATTTGTGAATATTTTCTTCTAATTTATCATTTTAACTTTAGGGCGTCTGAATTCTACGACATTTTAAATTTTGACGTGATTTTGCTTTTTGTTTCTATATAAAAATCTTCCCTATCCTAATGCCTTAAGCATGATTTAAATTTTTTTTAAATACACGTTTCCATTTTTCAAATTTAGGTCTCTAATCCATTTGGTATTTATTTTTATGTTGTCAGGTGCCTTTTTTCTCACATCAACAATTGGAATATATACCAAATAGCTCATTTTTTATCCATTGATTTAAAATGCAATATTTATAACTATCAAAAATGTATAGGAGCATTTTCTGGATTCAATATTCTTGCCTATAGATTCAGTATCTTATTTATTACACATTTTCAAAACTCTGCATCACATAGGAAGTATCCTTGCAAGAAATTAAATAGGAATGTGCTAATATTATAAAAAAATACCAACTAGAGATTGAAATAAATGTCTACTTTAATATTTATCACACAAATGTTTACTTACACTTATCTGAAAATTATAAGAAGACAATTTGTACATGTCACAATCATATTACTATTCATATAAGAACAACTACACATAATCATTTACTCAACTATATCAGGATAATACACAAGGTATTTGTTTGTCTTAGACTTATTAGTTAAAAGGAAACACCAAATAAGGAAAATGAGTTTCCAAAGATTAAGTTATTAACAATACAAATAAAAATTATTTCTAAATGTTTTACATTTGACAACTTTGAATTATACTTACATACTATTATTTCCAAAAATCATAAATTATAACACAGGTCACTGTCAGGGTGAAAATATATTTTTTAAAGCTTCTTTTAAAATATGCTATTATTATGCTTAACATCACTTGATTTATTCTTGGCACATGTGGCATCTGGGAAAGTAAAAATACACTTTGCCAAGTTTATGTTATTGTGCAGGTATAAGAGAAAGAGCACAATTTGGGAGGAAGACAGACCTGTGTTCAATTACCAGCTTTGTCCAAAGTTTTCTTGTGTTTGGCTGGTCAACTATTTCTTGGCACTGGGGCCAGGATTAAACTGAATAATGCATATTTTAAAATGCACAGCATGAGCACTAAATGGATGATAGATCCTTTCCCCAACTTATTCACTCTGAAGCAAAAGCAAAATATCACAGTCATATGTGTTCGTACAATTTGAAAAACTGAAAAAAAGGTGGAGATTTCAAAACAAAATGACCATGTTTTGAAAAACTGTACTTTTAAGAAATAAAGAAAGCCTTCATCAGGTTTAAATATTTCTCAATAAAACTTAGTGCCTACTATACCCTGATTTTTTTAAGTCCTAAAATATGATAAAATGGTCAATGGTTAAGGACTTTTGGTTTTCTTTTGTGCTACTGATATAAAAATAATGGCTATATTTAAGGCTCATTAAGTGATTGTAGTTGCCCTGAACCAAATCTATATTCTTGATGCTGCACTATCAGCTGAAAACTACTGTCTTATATGAGTAGATCCCTTCGATGGCACGTGGCACACAGCTTGTCTATTACTGAGGATGATTCTTATATACACAATCACAAACCCACCTGTCTCATGCTAAGTACTTGATGTTTGGAAGATCTAAGATTCCTGAAAATTGAATTTAAATGGACACAAGGAATACCCTACTTAGGACAGCAATGCTTCCATCTCTGTTCTTGAATCTTTTTGTCCCCTACCCTGACCACCTAACAAGTCATCTTTCCAAATCTGACTGAAAAACCCCTCCTCCAGGAATCTCTTCCTAACCAAACTCCACACCCTTCCATTTATGTCCCTGATACTCATGTATAATTTGTATTAGCTTCAATCTACATATATTACTATTCATGTTCTATTTGTCTTCCAGCTAAGATGTAGTCTGTTTGACTTTTTAAGCTTCCACAGTGTTTAGCACAATACTGTGCATGTATGTATGTGACTGTGTGTGTTGAATTTAAAAAAGACTAAAAAAACCTGGGTGGGTGAAGAGTGGAAAATTTTGATAATTTTTCAGAAATCAAAATTGCTAAACTTTCTTAATACTAAAAAATCTGGTTTCCAAAGCTATCTCAGTTTGGTTTTGGACATGTCAACAATAAAAAGGCAGTGAGAAAACTGCTTAAAAAACCTTTATGAAATATTCCAAAAGGCTTTTTAATAAATTATAAAGAGCACCAAACTAAAACATTTTACTAAATAGTGGGTTAACCTTTCCTATAACTATATAAATGTAGAGTTCTTTTAATTCAAGACAAAGAATACTGAACAGGAATAGGTGTTGTGAATCAGGATAAAAAAGGCAATTCACTCTAAGTCAATATCTAAAGCACATTTTGCAATTAATTTGAAAAGCCTTCCGTGGTACATATGTATGTTATGATAAGTAAAAGAATGATTTATATCAGAATGTCGTAGATCTCTATAGTTGTTCTGATATTATAAAATATGACACATATACTGAAGCTGCTATTTAACAAGAAAAATTTTGTTTATAATAGCTGTTAATATTAAAATAGGATATAATAAAAAATTATTTTCAATGTGTATATTTTCAAATTTCCCTGACAGTGTCCTTTTGAGAAATCTGACAATTTGTAATTATATTACAGACATTTGAATTTCATTTTTATGATTGAAAATATTACACACACATAATAACAAACAACACCGTGTGGGAGCTTTTTACTGAAGCACTCTGCAATTTATATTTAAAGCTTTGCAAGAAAACAAAAATCATTGTACTCTTTGTAAGTAAAATTACACAGCATATAATGTACGCTATCATTACATTAAGAATAAATAAATGAAGCATAAAAACTCTGTGCCATAATAATGGATTGTTTTAGCTGTCCTTCTAAATATTAATTTATATGTTTGTACTAAGTTATAATGTATTTTAAACTCAAGAATCTTTATTTTTAAATAATATATTAAAATATCAAGTTCGGAATATAAACATAAAACTTTATGCCTCTTTTTCTAGGTCATCTAGGAAATAAAATAAGACAAATGGGAGGTAAGGACAGTTCTTTCTGTTACTGTAAAATGCCTCCTTACTTCCCCATATATTTCTATGTTGTGTCTGGATATTACAAGATGACAAATATTACAAGATGACAGCTTAGCAAATTATAAGCTTGTTTAATTTATTTCTCATTTGGAAGAAAGAAAAATTTTAATGAAGAGCTTCCTTTTTTGGCTTACTCATTCTCAATCTTTTTTTTCTCTGATAAAGCACTTCTTAAATGCGTACTATTACTCATTTTAAACAACACAAAATGAATTGGATTAATTTACAGAATTAATCAAAATAGGTTATCAGTATAGATACTAGGGTGAGGTCCTAGAATTTGTTACACGTAAGGCTAAACTTGCAAGAGATCTCATGGCAAAAGTAGAAACTTTGTGACATATCCCAGCTTTTGAAATATAGTTAGAAGCCAATCGAAAAAGCCTTTCAGCACCAAAGGTATTGAAGTGCCCAGGAAGCACCTTCTCTACCAGACCTCTGTCCACTAATTCTATCAGACGTTCACAGGTTCCAACATAGTCACTTATCCTGCTGTACGGGAGCCAGTCAATCAGTGATCCATCATACACGACGTCTCCACTGAAGAGAATCTTTCGGTCTTTGTCATGTAAGCAAATACTGCCCCTGGAGTGACCAGGCATGTGCATAACAGTGAGCTGTCTGTCACCAAGGTTGATTACATCCCCTACAAATGGAAACAGAATTTACAGATAAACATGTTGTATGCTTGACTTCAATCACTTAAAGAATAAAAGAAAAGAATAGTAAATGGTTTCAAAGAGGTAGGATGGATAACTCTTTTATTTCAAAAATACAGTATTTCTTAATGGTGATTAAAAATAGTTAGCATATATTTCATTTCTATTGTTTGCTTAACCAGTGTTTGTCAAAGTGAATTATGTGGGACACTATTTTTGCAGGTTGTTATGATACATAAAAGAAAAGATTTGGTAGTCAAATAATTTGGAAATTCTTCCTTCAAAAATACTTATAGAGCTTTTTTTCTGCAAGGCTTCTGAAGGCTTTTTAATATGCTAATATGTATTGTATATATACACAAGGGAGATACAGTTATCCCATTTCTCAACTTATTTTACCACAACACTTTTGGTTTTTAGTACATCCATGGTACCGGTATCCTGATGACATGATTCATGAATGCTGCTCTATATTTTGTCCCTTCTTTTGTCATCCTCTGAGAATTAAGGCCTGAAGAATCAGTACAAATGATCATGCTCTGACTATTGTTGCTATGAGTAATAAAATGTCTTTAGTCTCCTGCCAGAATCTATTAAACTGTTGCAGACTAATTTGCAAGTCAGGTAAAATCTCACACTCTTCCCAGTTATTTGACAGTGAGAGGAAATTGAGGTATAAATGCAAAATTGCTTTTTCACTAGTTTTAAATCAGTACTAACTTAAGTAAATCATCATCATTTAAAAGTTCCATATAGCTATCTTTAGTGCAAACACATATATACAGAAAATATCAAAGGCATATAGTTAAAAAGTTAATAGGGGAATAAATAATTGGAACTTGTGAAACCTAAAAGACAATGAAAGAGGAAAAGAGAGCTAAATAACTAATGAGACATAGAAAACAAATAACAAAATGGCAGACCTAAAATCAACTATATCAATAATTACATTACATATGAATGGGATAAACATTCTAATCAAAGGCAGAGATTGTCAAACTAGATTTAAAAAGCAGGATACATATGCAGCCTACAAGAGAGGAACTATAAGGTCAAAGGCAAACAAAGGTTGAAAGTTATACGATATAGACATTAATAAGAACTAGAGTGGCTATACTAATATTAGACAAAATAAGGACTATTAGTGAAGAAAAATGCATTTTATTATCAAGTCAACACATTAAAAACTATATATGTACCTAAAACACTAAAAATTCATGAAAAAATTCAGTAAAAACTGACAGAATTAAAAATGAACAATTAATTGATTATGCTTAGACATTTAAATATTCCTCTCTGAATAATTTGTAATACAAGTAGATAGTAAATCAGTAAGAATACAGAAGACCTGAACAACACTGTCAACCAACTTAACCTAAGTGACATTTATATAACACTTTATCTTAAAACAGTAAAGTACACATTCATTTTAAATGGACATGGAATATTCACAAGGCTACACTGTGTGGCCATAAAGCAAGTCTAAGTAAATATGAAAGGAATAAAATCATAAAAATATGTTTTTTGACTACAGCATAATTAAATTAGAAATTAATAACAAAAATAAATATGGGAAATATCCATATACACACAAAATAAGCTTTAAGCTTTTACAAAACATGATCAAAGATGAAATCACAAAGGAGATTAGAAAATCTCTTGGACTAATTATCATAGAATACTATGAAAAATTATATGCCAACAAACTGGACAACCTGGAAGAAATGGACAAATTCCTAAATATCCACACACTTCCAAAACTCAAACAGGAGGAAACAGAAAATTTGAACGGACCCTAACTACTGAAGAAATGGAATCAGTTATCAAAAATTGCCCAACAAATAAGAGTCTTGGGCCAGATTGCTTCCCTGGGGAATTCTACCAGCTATTTAAGGCAGAGTTAATACCAATCCATCTCAAGCTGTTCCAAAAAATAGACACAGAAGAAAAACTTCCAGACTCATGCTATGAGGCCAGGATTACCTTGATTTCCAAACCAGACAGAGACCCAATTAAAAAGAATTACAGACCAATATCCCTGAAGAACATGAATGCAAAAATTCTCAACAAGATACTAGCAAATCAAATTCAACAGCATATAAAAAGAATTATTCACCATGATCAAGAGGGATTCATTCCTGAGCTGCAGGGCTGGTTCAATATTCACAAATCAATCAATATGATACATCACATTAACAAAAGAAAAGAACCATATGATCTTGTCAATAGATGCAGAAAAAACATTTGACAAAATACTGCATCCTTTCTTAATAAAAACTCTTGAGAAAATCAGGATAGAAGCAACACACTTAAACATCATAAAAACCATTTATGAGAAGCCCACAGCTAATATCATCCTCAATGGGGAAAAACTGAGAGTTTTCCCCCTGAGGTCAGAAACATGACAGGGATGTCCACTCTTACCACTGTTGTTGAACATAGTGTTGGAAGTCCTAGCATCAGCCATCAGACAACAAAAGGAAATAAAAGGCATCAGAATTGATAAAGATGAAGTCAGACATTCACTTTTCGCAGATGACATGATACTCTACATGGAAAACCTGAAAGACTCCACCAAATGGCTGCTAGAATTGATTTATGAATTCAGCAATGTCGCAGGGTAAAAATCAATGTGCAGAAATCAGTTGCATTTTTTACACCAATAATGAAGCAACAGAAAGAAAAATCAAGAAACTGATCCCATTCACAGCCATACCAAAATGCATAAAATACCTAGGAATTTTATGTAAAATTCCAAAGATGTAAAAGATCTGTATGCTGAAAACTATAGAAAACTTACGAAGGAAATTGAAGAAGACACAAAGAAATGAAAAAAACATTCCATGCTCATGGATTGGAAGAATAAATATTGTTAAAATGTCAGTACTACCCAAAGCAATCTACACATTCAATGCAATCCCAATCAGAATTGCACCAGCATTCTTCTCAAAGCTAGAACAAACAATCTTAAAATTGGTATGGAACCACAAAAGACCCTGAATAACCAAAGTAATATTGAAGAGGAAAACCAAAACAGGAGGCATCACAATCCCAGACTCTAACTTCTACTACAAAGCTGTCATCATCAAGACAGTATGGTATTGGCACAAAAACAGACACATGGACCAATGGAATACAATAGAGAACTCAGAATTAGACCCACGAATGTATGACCAACTGATCTTTGACAAAGCAGGCAAAAGTACCCAATGGAAAAAAAGACAGCCTCTTTAAGAGATGGTGCTGGTAGAACTGGACAGCAACATGCAGAAGAATGAAACTAGACCACCTTCTTACACCATACACAAAAATAAACTCAAAATGGATGAAGGACCTGAATGTGAGACAGGACACCATCAAAACTCTAGAGGAGAAAGCAGGAAACAACCTCCTTGACCTCAACCACAGCAATTTCTTACCTGACACATCCCTAAAGGCAAGGGAATCAAGAGCAAAAAATGAACTGTTGGGACCTCATCAAGATATAAAGCTTGATATAAAGCTTCTGCACTGCAAAGGAAACAATCAACAAAACTAATAGGCAACCGGCAGAATGGGAAAAGACAGTTGCAAATGATGTATCAGATAAAGGGCTAGTATCCAAAATCATAAGGAACTTAACAAACTCCACACCCGAAAGACAAATAATCCAGTGAAGAAATGGGCAGAAGACATGAACAGATACTTTTCCAAAGAAGACCTCCAGATGGCCAACAGACACATGAAACAATGCTCAGCATCATGCATCATCAGGTAAATACAAATCAAAACCACACTGAGATACCACCTCACACCGGTCAGAGTGGCTAAAATGAACAAATCAGGAGCCTCTAGATGCTGGCGAGGATGTGGAGAAATGGGCACCCTCTTATACTGCTGGTGGGAATGCAAACTGGTGCGGCCGCTCTGGAACACAGTGTGGAGGTTCCTCAAAAAATTAAAAATAGAACTACCCTATGACCCAGCAACAACAGTGCTAGGAATTTACCCAAGGGATATAGGAGTGCTGATGCACAGGGGCACATGGACCCCAATGCTCATAGCAGCACTTTCAATGATAGCCAAATCGTGGAAAGAGCCTAAATGTCCATCAACTGACAAATGGATGAAGAAGATGTGGGTTATATATACAAGGGAATACTACATGGCAATGAGAAAGAATGAAATCTGGCCATTTGTAGTAACATGGATGTATCTGGAGGGAATTATGCTAAGTGAAATAAGTCAGGCAGAGAAAGACAGATAACATATGTTTTCACTCATATGTGGATCTGGAGAAACTTAACAAGACCATGGGGTAGGGGAAGAGAGAAAAAAAGTTACAGAGAGGGAGGGGGGCAAACCATAAGAGACTCTTAAATACTGAGAACAAACTGAGGGTGGATGGAGGTTGAGGGAGAGGGGAATGTAGGTGATGGGCCTTGAGGAAGGCACTTGTTGGGATGAGCACTGGATGTTGTATGCAGACCAATCTGAGAATGAACTATATTAAAAATAAATAAAACATATTTTAAAAAGCCATTTCATTCACAATAGCACCAAAAAGAAAAAAAATACTTAGGAAAAATTATATCTATATACTGAAAGGTATAAAAACATCATTATGAGAAATTAAAGATCTAAACAAAAGGAGAGATATACCAGGTCTATTGACTAGAAGCCTCAAAATTGTTAAGGTGGTATTTTGATTTTCCCATAGCTCCAATGTCTAATACAACTTCTGAGATTAATGAAATATTCTGTATCAATACTGTCCAATATGGGAACCACTAGCTACATATGGCTATTTGAAATATGGCTAGTATACTAGGGAACAAGAACTTTAATTTTAATTAATCTAATTAATTTAAATTTATATTTAGATAGTCACATGTGGCTGGGGCTACTGTAATAGCTGGTGTACATCTGCAGATTTAATACAATCTCAATCAAAACCTTGAATTTTTTGTAGAAATTGAAAATCCCACTCTAAAAGTTATATGAAAAT